CCCCCTCGCGTGGCTTCGCGCCTTGAGGCTAAATTTGCAAGGCAGCACTAATCCGGATCGCTCGTGTGCGTGAGCTCTGCCTAATTGGGCTGTCCTCCCTTGTCAGTTCTAATCAGCTGCTAAAATCCGTCTGTCTGGGGAGCTCGTTCACAGTTGCACTGCAACGTCTTGTTTTTTCAGTTCCTCGGTGTCCTTCGGTGTTACTTTGCCTTTACAGATGTGGAAACCTCCTTCATTGTGCTTTGCGCCATCTGGAAAACAGACTTTTATATGAGTTCCATGCCATTTCTCCATATTCTTACAAGTATTCAAAATACGTTTCCTTCCCGTTCTTCATCTTAGTTCATTGATTTATTTTTTCATGCTCTTATTCCCAAATGTATTTCAGAGTTAAATACAAGTTGCATCACTACCCGTTTAAGTTTTAAATAGCATTTCTCCCGATACTTGTTTATACTGATTTGCTAGAAAAGATATGATGCAGTATGAGCTACGCTTCAACATGGTTCCAGGGGCTTTGGAGTATGCTTTCATTCTGATAGCTGGTGAGTGGCACTGGAGATTTAATTAAGGAGATTGCATAGTTATGTCAGAAATATTACATATTACAGATGAAACACTTTGGTAAGCATTTGTATCAAGGAGACGTGCACACTCATCCTGCTTGTTTCTACTTGCTATTCATCATGGCCATGCATTGGGAAAAGAGTGGTAGCTTTTAATGTCATTAGTATGGCTTGGTGTGCATCACACTTGTAATTTTCAAAGCATTTCCGTGTACATCAGTAACATACTTACATGTCTTACAAATGTATTGCATAAGCCATGTCATCCTGACTGTCACAGATGGGTAACTGAGGGATGGAAGAAGCACCTTGACTTACTGTTGATAAAAGCTTAATGCTACAAGAAGGGCTTGCAGCTGAGCAGGGGTGAGAGCTAGGGAATTCCTAGCTCCAGTGCTTTGTATTTAGGCCAGTGTATTAATAGCATACAACATCATCTGCCTTGGGTATTCTGTGTGTTGTTCTAGGGAAGATAAAGTGCACAGCACACTAGGGGGACTGTAACAGGTGAGATGCCTTTCAAAATGTATAGTCCTTTGGCTAGTTTCATTTAAGTTATATTTGCTAGTGCAAAAGCTTACTGCCTTTGTACGTGCTTCTGAGCAAAGCAGAAGAACACGATCTCCTCTACTTAGGCTCAGCAGGCTGAATCTGGACCAGAGCCAATCCAGAAATACAGCCAAGTTAGCTCCGTGCTTTGTTTGAGCTACAGTGTTGTCCTATAAGAGCATTGAGATCAGAGTAGGTTTGCATCAAGTCATTTTGAATATTGGCAGAGCTGTCTTCCTGTTGATGATGTAGCCTAAAAACTTCAATAATTCTTTTATTTCTAGAGGCCATCCTTTACTGTCACTGATGAACTACTTTGAAAGCCTTGTATAACCCTTCTGCACTTTTACATGGATAGAGTTTCTCGGTTTTGAATGGCTAACTTTTTCATAAACATTAAATCAGATTAAAAGTAGTCTCATCCTTGCTTAGGAAGTACTGGTGTATTGAGTAATTGATCTCCTTTGATGCATATGTCAGGGCTAGGATGGAGTACGCTACTATACTGTTCAGTAATTACACGCAATTTGATTACATTCTCTACATGTATTGGAGGACAGGACTAATTTTTACAATACCCTAAGGAAGCAAAGTGTATTGCTGCCGACACTTGCCGAGCTCACTGCAGGTTAGTGTATGCTGGACACAGTCAATTTGAAGCTGTAAGCATTGCCAAGAATAAGAAGCCTCTTGCATATGAGACTGAACATTGATTTCTTCCCTGAGCAATATTACTTGAAGGAGCTAATTCAGTCACCTGGTCCTATTTGATAAGAAATGTAACTGTTTTGATGCTACTGTGAAGGATATTTTTCCTGGAAGAAAGTTCAATATCTGTTTTACTTGTTTTTTACAGGAGCTCTGCTGACAGTGGAGTATGTGAAGAATGATGTTGAAATTTCAGTGGAAGAAGGCAAAGAAACCGTCCTCCGTGTGTCTGAGTAAGTGACTTTGCATCTCTCCTTCTAGCTTTGGGTCAGCAGTTTTATAAATCACATGGCTGTAACATTGACAGTAACCTTTTCAGGTAGGAGGAAGAGAAGAACACAGTTTTTTCTTCATCACTGCATTTCTGATGTCTCTTTGTAGCACAGACAAAACATTTACAATATGTTCTAAATTCGATTCTGGTATTCTTATTTGCATCCATTTACGTCTAGTCATTTATGCTGTACCAGTCACTTATTATTTAGACATTTGCATTTTTGAGGTGCCATGAATTAGCAAAAGCAAGCCCTTTTTATATTAGGCAAGATTAGTATACAAAATTCCTTGGACCAATACGTGGTGGAATGAATTTTAAAGGTTTATATAGCATTATTATTTTGGACTTCTTTCTGCATATAAGTGAAGGCATGATGTTATCTCAGAAAAGTGCTAGTTAACTATGCCACACTATCCAGTCCATCTTCATCCTGTAGATGAGTCTGATCTGGAAATTTTTGTAGAAGTCTGTTTCCTGTCCTTCTAAAAATACTCTGCCATTGGAATAAATAATTCAAGATTTGTGGCATGCAGGTGGTTTTTATTATCTGAGTAGGGTCGTATGCATATCATAAATGCGGGAGCACTGGTGTTATTTTTGGAAAGGTGCATTGTCAACTTAGATTCCATATCAGGTGAGATACCTGGATGTGTCAAGAGGAGAGATCCTGGTGTCTTGAGTACCACTGAGATGTCAGTGGAAATCTGATGCCAAGTATCTTTGGTAAGGAGCATACTTTGACCCATAAACATTGCAGTCCTGGATTCAGGTCTATTAGCACTGTGATGTGTTTGGAATTTCTGATTCTAAGTGTGTTTTTTGAATACTGATTGTTTTTTTGAAGAATAGGGGGAACAATTTATTGTTCACCGACTTGCTGACAAACTCTCATTTTATGGGCTATTTCAGTAGAAGATGCAGTTAAAGCCATGACAAATTGGCATATCCGTAGAATGGTTACAGAAACAGCATTGTGTTTTTTTGTTGGATTGCAGAGATCCTGATTTGATCCTCATAAAGTAACACCAACCAAGCTATTCCACTGTCTTGTAAGCTTGAAAAAGAGCTTGTCACTAGGTACATATTTCTGCAAAAATATTGAAGCACAGGATGATTCACAGTCTTCAATGCTAATGATTGTTTTGCTGGTTGCAAATATTGCTTTCTGTTTAAAATGTTAGACTTGAACTCAGATATGAGTTCTTCCTTGACTGTAATCTCTGATTTTACATTTTGTCTTTTGCTGTGTCTAGTGATGGCATTGAACTTATGATTTTGAATAGAAGCAAGAGAAATGTGGCAGGTTGTATTGGAATTTAATTAGTACGGCATTAATAAGTCTTTGTGTGTTATGCACATGTGGGATAGAGATTATGTAACAGAGAGTTAACTGGGTATCTTTTAGTTGCATGAGAGAATTTTCCCCCTAAGTGGTCTCAGATTTTGTTTTAATTTTCCTTTCACAGTTGAGGCTGTGTGTGTGTGATGTATATACCAAAAGATATAGATGGATATGTATGCCCCTATGACACGTGGGGATGATTTTGGAAAAATATATGTTTATAAGCTCAGCTTTTTTAAAAATTGTTTCATTAAATAATTTTATATTACCATGCCTTCTTCTCATTACATTGCAAAGCCACTCATTTTAAATTGTAATGGAAATTGTCGGAAATGTAAACCAAAAGCTCTTCTGCACTTTGGTCATGTGTGGTTAATATCTAGACTCATAGTTCCATCAGATGGAATTTTTTGTCTTCAATGTCCTCCTGTCCCTGGCATTGGATTATGTTTAAGAAGTAATTCCAAATCTCAATATTGCATTAATTTTCTCTTGCTCGGTTGTACAATCATTTTAAAAATTGATTCTCTATTTTAAAGTCTGTTAAAAGTGTATCTGTAACTTGAGAATTATCAGCTGAACTCATATCTCAACTAATGCTTTTAGTAAATGGATTTCATGGCATCAGTTCTGCTGAAGCTTTCTTATTTTGGCATGATTTGAAATTCACTTGGGATATTTCAGAATTTTTTGGTTTTTTTCTGGGAAACTGTTCTAATGGCTTGATTTGATCAACAGAGAACATTTTATTTGCTTTTTTCCTAGGTTATATTTTGAAGTGCAGTTAAAATCTGTTGACAAACTTTTCAGCTAACTAGCTGAAACTTAGCTGTCAACTAGTTAGCTGAAAAGTTTATCACCAATTTGAGATGATTAATTTTATTTTAAAGGTTATTTTCGAAGACTTATCTTCAAAACTTCATGTGGTAATAGCTCCTGTACAAACCACTTTGCTAAATTGTGATGTCTTTATGGATTGTGTTAGTGTACTTACATCGTACCAGCTCACAGTAGAGCTTTTCCGTTTTGCTTTGGGAGCGCATGCGTGGTTTAGGATAGTCTTACTCTTAGGCTGCCCAGAACAATTCTGCAATGCTTTGTACAAATCAATTCAAATAATGTTTTATTACAGTTGGAGATTCTCTGTGCTGTTTAGTGTTTCATGTTTTTCCTTCTCCCATCTTGTCTTTTGCTTCTTAAATATTTGTCCTGGTATTTCTTTATGTGTCATTTCCTGTCACTTTTGAGAGACACTTACCCTTTGCCTGTAACATTACGTTGTCCCTGTGTATTCTTCCTTAACTTACCCCTGGGGTTAGCAGGCACTAGCTTCAGAGCAGCCCTAATGTTTTGTAACTTGTTCAAAGAAAGGAGGGCAATTAGCATTATGTTTGGGTGGAAGTAGGTCTTTTTTGCCCAAAGAAAATAAACAACTTAAGCACAACTAAGTAAAAGCACAACTAAGCTTTTACTCAGAGCAACATTGTTACATTTCCTATATTTATTCATGTTCGCTTGAGTAATCAGGGATATTTGTTTTAGTGTAAACTAATGAAAACAGTAAAAACACATTGGGCAGACTTTCCATAGATGCAAATGTGTTAGTAACATTTTGCTTTTCTCAGTTGGAAAAAGCTTCATTAAGATCTGATAGCAATATAAAAATTATAATAGGAGGCATTTTGTGTGTGTTAGGCTCCCTGCTGTGATGTTTGTTTTTAGTTACATTTTATGTATCTTTTGTATGCTGGATCCTAGAAGCTTGAAAAGCTAGAAGCAAAAAAAACTACAAATGACCTACATTCCTTAGGTTTTAGTGCAGTTAATGGGACTGTGTCATTGATTTGTATTGAAGATGAGGCTAATTTTACTTGTTAGTATGTCAAGAAGTCTTCTACATCTTTTTCGGAACTTTCACTGATTTTTTACAAGTCTGTTTGAAGGCTATCAAAAATTCTTTTAATTTATTAAAGGACACAGGTGTATAAGGAAGTACTGAACAGTGGCAGAACAGAAATGAAACCTTGTTTAGACAACTCGAAGTGTAGCATTGAGTGGAATGCAACGCTTACAGGAACTCTTTTTGTTGATGTCAATGCTCGTTTAGAAGCAATTTGAGCTCTAATTTTGTAATCTATAGCTGTGTGGGACTGGAGATGAGTCTGTGGAAAATTGATGGTTGTGATGCATCTTTCTTCCAAAGTATTTTAGTAAATATTAATGAAAATGTTCACATTTATCTTAGATACATTTAAAACTAGATTTCTGACAGTATGCAGCTTTTTCTAATACAGTATGTGGGGTGGAAAATGGAGATTAAAACACAGAAGTATACTCTTTGGAGAGCCTTTGGCCTCCAGATCTGTTGAGAATTTTCAACAGCAGAATGGGAAAAAGAAATTCAAATTAGTCTTCTATCTGGAGAAGACTGGGTAAGAGACAGAAATACAGGCTGCCAAGTTTGTTCAGCAGCACAAGTTTAAACTGAGTAAAGTGAGCGATAAATGAACCTTTTTTTCTCCTCTGATGTTAGCCCTTAGAACCATGGTAGAGGCCTTTTGATTCCTCTGTAGATTCCCTAGGAATCCCCTTGAAAGTCATTCTTCTTGTATGGAAAGAGAAGAAAACGAATGTTGATTTAGCTCCTTATGTTCTGGAAAATATGTAGCTCAGGTTATACTGAAGTATTATGTTGGATGGGGAGAGAGGGTTTTATTCTTTGGAAGAATCAGAGTTTTCTTAACTGTCTAAACAAAATTATTTCATGTTTAGAAGCTTATTGTTCTATCTGGTGATAGCAAAGTAAGGACCATTATATTCTTTTGCTAGATACGTGTTGTTTTTTTTTTATTCTGGTGTCCTGATACCTCTTGGTTCACCCAGAAATTACTCTGTGTTTACTTTACACGTTCCAACTATGTGTGCACAATCAAAATTGAACTGGAGGTAGTAATTCAACATACCTTTATCTTTTTTTAGGCATGTTTCGTTTACCGATGTGAATTCAATAGCTCGTTATCTGGCTAGAGTTGCTGGTTCTGCTGGGTTGTATGGTTCAAATCTGTTGGAACACACTGAGGTGAGAAACCATGCCTCTTTTTTTTTCTTTTTTTTTCTTTTTTTTTTCTTTTCCTTTTTCTCCTCTCTTTTGGTCTGTGATCAAAAGTTTTCTTGGTTTGTTTTTTTGAACTTCGCCTCTATTCTGCATTTTAGTGTTAGACTGAGGTTCAAACTATGTGGGATGCGAAAGGTTGAATTTTCTTCAGCTTGCTCTTTCTTATAGTCATAAATCTGAGCTTTGAAAAGGTTACACTCTCTCACACCTGCAGCAGCAACTCCTATCCTGACAGTTCACTAACATAATTCACCTTGGAAGGTTTTATCTGCAACTTTCCCTCTTAGTTTTCCTCAGTTCTGTTGCTGCTACCATGTATCACTTCGGTGTAACACCAGGGAATACTGTATGACATTGAAATAGTACATTAGTTTTTGGTGCATACGATGGGCAAAACCATGACCTCAGTTTAATTCAGTGAAATGTGGTGAGACGTCGCCATGTAGATGGACTGTTCCCTCATGCAAAGTCCCGTATTCTGTAGTGCTTTGCTAGTGGTGTCATGAGGACACCAGAATTTTTCTGCCGAGGAGAGAATGTTTTGGTCTTTCTTGCTTACACAGATCACAAAAAGTTATTAGAAACTGTGGTTATGATATGAAATAAGAGGGAATTCTTCCTAAGTCTAGCTTAGAATAATCATGTGCTGAATTTAAGGTGGTAGTTAAAACTAGCAGATAAATTGAAATTTATTTCTTCTGAAATTTGGAAAGGAACTGAAGGACTTGATTAGCTCTTTTCTACAATTACTCGGATTAGCTGTAATCCCTTTTCAGTCCTTATAGCTGGTCTCCTGGAAAGTGTTCTCTTGGTATATTGCTTGTAAGACATTAAAAAAGTTATCTTGTGGCTATTTCAACTTTCTGACCAAACCCTTTGTTTTTAAGTTAAGCCCCGAGCCTCTGCACACGCAGTTTCAAGACTGATATTTTGATGAAGTAGTTCTTTTCACTTCTGCACCTTTCAAAAATAAAGTTGTAATTCAAGAAGTACAGGGACAGCTGCATTTGTGGTGCAAATATTTTGGAGCATAACTGCAAATGAATGAACTGAATTCTGTGATGATGTAATTACATCTGTGCCTGCCGTGTTGGCTGGAATATTGGAAGGATTCCTGACGCAATTTACAAAACATGTGCACATGAAATAAGGACAGAGGGCTAGAAGAGACACTTGAATCCCTCAATGCTTTAAGAGATTAATTTATAGACAGGGCTACCATTATTAACCAAAGGCCTGATTCATCATTTTTCTTTTCTTGGTGTATGCTCCTTTCATGGAGCAAGACTGTTTTGCAAGAGAGGGGGAGGGTAAGTGAGGTGAGGGAGGGATTTTATTTCTTCAAATCTTGAAAAAGATGAAGCAGAGAAGATAGGGACTGCAGGGAAAATGGTAAACTTATCCGGCAGCAGTACCGGGAGGATAAACTAGGTCGCAAATGTGGTATCTGAGTAGTTGAAGGATAACTGCGATTATTGTTTAGTGTGTGTGAAAAATAAGTACCTAATAACTGCTAATTATTTTTACCAGTAGGATTAGCTTCAGTAAAGTCAGTATTTTGAGCAGTTTGAATACATCTTGAAGGAAGAAATTAAATTTAGTAATTTGTTATAGTTCTGGGTGAATGTTTCTGTATATTTTAAACATTCCTTAAGCATATATTATGATTTATTGGCCAATATATTTAACATTCCAGCTGATATTTTCTGGTCCGCTATTAAGTGGATTGTGTAGTACTTCAGGGTTTGGTTTTTTTTAAGAAGCTTCTTTCTCGTTCCTTTAATAATTTTGACTATCTTTTGTCCCTTAAAACTAGATTGACCACTGGCTGGAGTTCAGTGCCACAAAGTTATCCACTGCCAACCAGTTTCTTTCAGCAGTCCAAGAGCTCAACCACTGTCTGTCTCTACGAACTTACTTGGTTGGAAACTCTCTGAGTCTCGCAGACTTATGTGTCTGGGCTGTACTAAAAGGTATCAGTGTATGTTCTCACTTTCCTTGGCTTGTGATCAGTGTATAGCAGGAGACTTCAAATTTCGTTTTTTTGTGGATGCTAGTGTTACCTCTCAACTGTATGCCAGACTGCATGCTGTTGTGCATAGTGCTTTGGCCTGTGCCTTGCTAGTGATGGAAATAGTATAGCTTAGGAAACCCTAGAACTGTTTTTAAATTGTTGCTCTGTTTGGAAATGTATAGGATGTAATCATAGACGGGGATTTTTTTTAAATTCTTTTGTGTTAACTGTAAACGTGTCTTTTTATGACCTGTTGCCTAAATATGAAAATTTGATGTGCCTAAAATTCTTGGATTAAATATTTAGATTATTTTGTAATACTGTAAAACTATAAACACAGACCTTTCCATGGCATCATCTTAGTAGAGCAAATTTCTTTAGTTTGAATTATTAAAAGAGCCATATGTTACTCTCTGAAATACCCTTCCGAGATTAAAAGAAGCTTTGATGATCTGTTTTTATTGGTTTGGTTTTTGTATTTTAGATATATGTCTAAAGTTGATTATGTGCCAATCTATTATTCAGTATAACCAAATTCCTCTTGAAAGCAAAATGCATACTCAAGAGTAAAAGCTAACATCTTTTGTTATTTTTCCAAAGTTGATGCTCTTAAGAGAAATCTGAAAAAAGTGTACTATTTTTTTCTTTTCTTCCTCTTTTCTTCTTCAGAATCTTTGTAGTGAAGTTGTGTTCCTTGAAAATTAGATTGTGGGAGTACAGGCTCTCAGAAATAAAGAGCAGTACTGATACATGCCTCAATTCTGTTAAAGCTTAGAAAATATCAAACACAGACACACTAGATCAGTATTTTATATTTCTGTCTTGAAAAAAGTTTTTATTAATTTTTGACCTGTGTGATACAAAGAAAAATGTGTGTTCCCCAGTCCCTTCCCGCCTTCTGATGTAACGAATCCAAGAAAGAATGCAGTATCTTGTGTGTTTGGAGGGAGTTTGTTTATTTAATTTGCTTTAAAATGGCTTGTGTCCGAATGACTAAATGTCTTTTCAGAAGAAAGCATGAGTAGCGTTTACAAATTATAATCTTCAGTAATCATTCAATTTTTATAATTTAATAACTGGAAAAATTGTTTGTTTTGTAACAGATAATAACATATGGCAAGAGCAATTGCAGCAAAACAAAGCCCCTGTCCATGCCAAGCGGTGGTATGGCTTTCTTGAGGTACAGCGTGCTTTTCAGGCAGTAGGAGCCAAGTGGGCTTCTGGTACACCAAAGGTTAAAATGGTAAGATTTACTCAGATTCTGTGGAGAGAGTGTGTAAGACAATATTATTAATCTTTTAAAAGTTAGAGAATTAAAAGGAATCAGTTGTACAGTAAATTATATTTCTGTAAAATCTTGTTTGAAGATAAAGCTGTAACAGCTTTGAATGCTGTAGTTCAGTGCTTAAATGGAATCTTGTAAAAATGGCACCTCTTAATCAGCGCAGCTCTTTAGATACATTGTTTGCTTTTTATAAAGATCCTGGCAGACCTGCAAAGATTTCGGTCTTTCCTTGATTGAACTTGTTGATCACATTCAGGTTAAGAACACCACAATATAAAAAAAGTGGCTAGCAACGTTTTTTTTCTGTGGAATAAATTAAACAACTTGGTGAGACTTTTCAGTCCTAGATCAGATTTAAAGACAGAGTAACAAAAATTCTAGAACTAATCTTGTTTTGATGTATTATGAGTAATGTGAAAGTTGGAAAGAGGTTCATTTGGCATCTAATGTGGCAGCTTTTTGTCCTCTGGTTTGAAAGAAAACCTTGGTGTATAATTTTGTATCTGATTATACAGCTAACATGATCTTAATTTGTATCTGTTAATTTTTAAGGCAACAGAAAAGAAATCAGATGTTGGGAAGTTTGTTGAGCTTCCTGGTGCAGAGATGGGAAAAGTCATTGTAAGGTTTCCTCCTGAAGCAAGTGGGTAAGAAACTTAATTACTTTGAGAAGATTCTGTTTGTGTTTTTTCTTTAAAAAAACAGGTATGCTGAAGTGAGGATGTTAGTCAGCTTATCAGACAAGGTTTTTAAGCCAAAAGATTATTTAAAGCTCTGTCCACATCTGCATTAGAGCTGAACCTGGAATAAGGAGGTTAGTTGCCAGCAGGTGACGTGGTGCTGCCCTGCAGTGGGACGAGGAGAAGCAGCAGGACGGTGTTTGCACGGATAACGGAGGCCTGTGCACAGACGGGAGCTCCGATGTGTAAATGAAGTTTTTACAAGTTGGGCGAAGGGACTTGTAGTGCTTCTTCAGGAAGCTTAGATTTGAGAAGGGGAAGACGTACAGGAGAGCCTTCCTTCGGGAAGCTTGGCCCCAGATGTGTGATGGAGGCCTTTGGCCCAGGGCCCAGGCTGTACATAGTCCCAAAGCACAAACTCCTTAAGGACTGTGCAGAGGAGTTGTGATGAGCCAGTTTAATAAATACAGTTTTCAGTCAGCTTTTAGTTATATGTTTCTTTTCAGAGTTGCCTGATGAGCTGTAAAATGTCCATAATTGCATTTCTTCGTTAGACTGGCTCTTCTCAGCATCATGTGACTTCTGTAGTAGTGGTTTTTACTCTATTAGTCCAGTATAAACTGTTGCTCCTAAGTTATGTATTATGTGCATGCAGGCATATAACATAGATTGTTCTCACTTGACTTCGGTAGCTTACGGTGTCTTAATTCTGGTGTTTTCATTAAAACACAGTTCTTCAGGGACACATATATTTCAATTTTTTTTTTTCAAAAGTTATTTTCATTTTGTGGATTTGGGGTTTTTGTATTTTGTTTAAATTGGAAGTAGCTTTTTAGCTTGTGTTAAAAATACCCAACGACCACCACTTTTCTGAATGTGGTGTGTTCTGATTATCTGGTGACTGCTACTGAGTATCATTAACACTTGGTTTAAGTTAGTCTGTAAAACTTTGTGTCCATAGAGGCACTCTAATTTACAGATTTAGGTATTTTTAACAGTTAACTACTAAATTTGCAGTAGAAAAAATATACTCTACTTTCATATGTAGGTAGTATTTCAATGAGTATCCTTGGTTGTCTTTTTTTTTTTTTTGGTTAGGCTTAGGTATTGCTTTCTATTCTTTTCACACACACATACGAAAAAGAGTCTAGCTGAAGTAGTGCTGATGTATATATTTTTTTTATTTCCTTTTTTAGATATCTGCATATCGGTCATGCCAAAGCCGCTCTGCTAAATCAGCACTACCAAGTTAACTTTAAAGGAAAACTCATTATGAGATTTGATGACACAAATCCAGAAAAAGAGAAGGAAGACTTTGAAAAGGTATGGTAAGAGAGCAGGGAAATCCATTCACTGTGTAGCTAATTCAAAGGTAAATGATGTGCTGAGCTGCTCTTGCACACTTTTTTTGCACTGGATTTTTACGTTACCACTATTACACTTAAGTCTTATGCTTGAAAGAAAAATCCATCATCCTTACCTTAAAAAGCTCAAAGCTTATTTTCTTTTGGCTTATTTCTTCCCTTTCTCCGGTGTTTATTCTACTGTATGTAAATACACAACTCTTGCAGTACAGTGTTGTTTTCATTGCATAAATGCTTTTCAGCTTTCATGTCCTTTTCTTGTCCTACCTCCTTCTTAAGTTAAGTCTGATCTCGTATAGCTGTAGGCGATGAATGAATGATAAATGCCTGCCTCTCTTTCCTTTCAAGCATGTCACGTTATTTGTATGGCTTATCCTTACTGGGCAATGGAGCATTAAAGCACCACATCTGGCATGGAGAGGGTAGCGGTTTAAGAAAACTTGCTTTTCTGAATATTACAATATACATTTTCACATTTTCTTAGGTTATTCTTGAAGATGTGGCAATGCTGCACATCAAACCAGATCAATTTACATATACCTCAGATCACTTTGAAACAATAATGAAATATGCTGAGAAGCTTATTCAAGAAGGGAAGGCATATGTGGATGATACTCCTGCAGAACAAATGAAAGCAGAGCGGGAGCAGAGAGTGGAATCTAAACACAGAAATAACTGTAAGATATTTTAAGCTTCTGTCTTGCTTTCTTCTCAATTTGACATCAAAATCTGATTTTTTTTATTACACAATTAGTCATCTCATCCATCTTTGTTATCTCTAAGGTCCTGGAAGTGTTTAGTGCTTTGTTCTCTAGGGCTGTAATAAGCGTGCCTTTACACAGATGCAGTAAACTTGTGTATGTTTGAGTTCATCACCACTCATTACTACTTCTAATAAAAACAAAATATGAAATGTGTGAAAATGAATTTTGGTGTCTAAAGAGAGGGAGTGACCTGGCTTTTTGTTACTGCAGTAAGAAAATGTGCTTCTCTATCAACATCAGCCTTGGAAAATTATTTATTTTCATTGTTCTTAGGTGTCAATAAGAATCTGCAAATGTGGGAAGAAATGAAAAAGGGAACAGAATATGGACAAACTTGTTGTCTACGAGCAAAAATAGATATGAGTAGTAACAATGGATGTATGAGGGATCCAACTCTTTATCGTTGTAAAAACCAGCCTCACCCACGTACTGGAAGTACCTACAAGTATGTCCACTTCCTCCTTGAATGACCTGTGATTTTTACTCTTTTCAGGGCATTTATCATTCTTCAGTAAACTACTTTTAATACTTGGAACCTGCTAGCTTTTTTCAGTCAGAATATGTAATGAGATTCTTGACCTTCTGAAACTTCTGCAGGTGACTTTCAAAACCTGTGGGTTGGCCATCGTGGCCAGCAGTGAATATTATTCAGTTTTGGTCCGTAAATACAATTTGTGCCAGTGAAGAGCTTCGAGTCAAAGCATGAATTAAGACTTAATGGCTATATCTTGGACAGCAAAGCCAAGCTCTAGAAGCTTAAGGCAAACCCGTGGCAATTTTGCAGTGCTACAATTTTATATTGCTGTGAAACATCCTCGATCTACTTACCTGAGTAGCTGCTTCCATTTTCACAGCAACTGCTGTCTTGGTGCAGAATGAAGAATCACCACATTGTGCATTGAAGTAAGCAAACCCAATTGGTCCAGGCTGTGCTTCAGTGCTTATCTGAAACCTCTGTTTCCAGCTATACAGCTCTCTTTTCGGAAACATGGGTTTAACGTGTGTATAGTACTAAAGCTATGTCTGTGGGTAGTGATTTGTTTTTAAACATGAAAGCTTTGCTTATTATTCTGTCAACTAATGATTCTTTTTGATATTTAAAGGAAAAAACAAACTACAAGTCAGCATTTTAAGTGTTTGAAAAGAACACTAGCAGTGTAGGATTATTTTTTTTAGTCTTGAATATTAAAGCAATGATCAATTAATTTCTTGAAGGTGTCCTTTGTTTTAAAAACGCATTGCCTTCTAGATCTTTTAATGGGCAATTTGTTGTGGATGTGCTATTTTAGTCTTGATCTAAAAGTTTTGAGAATCATAGATTGTAAATATAATATATGAATATAAATTATGCCTAGCTGAAATGTTTATGTGTGAGGAAGGCGTTTTGTTCTTCTACTCTACTAATTGAAGGTCTTTATTCCCAGAGTTTATCCCACGTACGATTTTGCCTGCCCCATTGTTGACAGTATCGAAGGTGTCACACATGCATTGAGGACAACTGAATACCACGACAGAGACGAACAATTCTACTGGATCATTGAGGCACTGGGCATAAGGAAACCATATATATGGGAGTACAGCCGGCTAAACCTCAACAACACTGTGCTCTCCAAGAGAAAACTTACATGGTTTGTCAACGAAGGGCTTGTGGATGGCTGGTATGTTTCACAGTTGTAGTTCAGCATTGTTCCTTAAGAAAACAGTGACTTAGGCACACATTCTCTGTTTTGGGCGGTGTTTAGGTATCAAAGCAGCATGAATCACTATTTAAAAAATATTTAAGAACATAGATTAATTATAATGGCTTCTGTGCATACAGTGGGTCTGTTTACTACTCTACAGTAGCTGTGTACATACATATTCATATCCCGTAATAAACATGTGGTGGGTTATTTTTGGACTCTGGCTCTTGCTACAGGTACTACGTATGCATTTTCCACTCTGAGTCATCGGATACATTCCTGAGTCATGCCAGAAGGAGACCTGAAGTGAAGAACTTCTGGTCCTATCCATCTAGTCAGATCTGTCCTACTTCCCTCCCACCTGCTGTCCCCACCTTCTGTCTCTTCTTTTTTTTTTGAATTACCTGTATTTCTGGAGATAGGGCTCAGTGGCCTGGTAGCCTAAGTATTTTCCTAGAAAGGATGAGCCAAGGGTTTACACTTTTGTGTGTAGCTCTCTATAGAGTGGCTCCTTTGTTCATTCCACAATGGGCTAGGCATAGGAGCGGACCATCTGAAGTATTCTCTTTGTAGCACACAAAGATAATGCTAATTCAGACAACTGCTTGTAGGTGATTCTGTGCTCAACCTACAGGAGCATCATTTTACATGAGTTCCTAGGCTGTCTGGTTGTCTTGCTTAGATGTGCCAAGCATGCAGGGTTGTTTTCTTTTTTATTTCTCCCCTCATTTTATTTTTTGATTGTGTTGGAAGCCTAGACTCTTAGCTTATGCGTGTAACCACTCTGCTGGAGGAAAATTTGTTTTGTTTTGGTTTTGGTTTCTCTTGTTCTTTTCTTTTTTTTCTGTGTGATATAGCTCATCTTATGATGACCTGCCTCCCTGTTAGGTCCTCAGCAAGATTTTATTGGTATTTCCACCAGCACATACTTAAATTCCAGATTGGGCCTTAAAATCACAGAATTCTATCACTAATGTCATTGGGAGATAACATTGTCGTCACTCACCTCTTTCTGATTTCACTTGAGCAAGAAAAAATCAAATCCTGTTGTTTCAGGTTTCGTTAATCAGATGCCATACTAATGTGATAGACACATCACTTCTGCCTTGCCAGTTCTTGAGAGATTTCAGATTGCATAGGTATACGAAAAGAGCCCCTTCACCAAGAGATGGCTTCCCTTCCTGGGAATATGTATGGAATTGTATGGATAAGAGCTCAGTCTTTTCAGCGGAGTTTTCTCATCTAGCTCTTAATTCACACATGCACAATACGCCGTGCCTTTCACTTCTGGCGGTATTAGTAAAGTTTTCGATCAGGGTAGCTAATATGTAGAACTTGGCTTGTGACGCTGATGAAATGTCTTTTTCTACTAGGGATGACCCAAGGTTTCCCACCGTGCGTGGTGTCCTAAGAAGAGGCATGACAGTTGAAGGGCTAAAACAATTCATTGCTGCTCAGGTGTGTGTCCTCTTCTGATTCTTTGAATCTCACTTGATAAGGACAAGTTTTTGTGAAGTTTCAGTTAAAGTGCTTGTCACTGGGATATTTCCTCTTTTGAATGTTTGCTGCTTTCGTGTGTACTGCTTCCACAGTACTAACACTTGTGAGCGGGTTCTGGCTCAAGATGCCTTTCTAAACTGTTTCAATGAATGCAAACCATCAAGGGTTCCTAGTTTTAAAGGATTTTGCTTTAGATGAGCCTAATAGCTGTAATATTTTTATATTAATGTTGAGGGTTGGTTTTTGGTTTTGTTTTTGTTTTTTCTCAGGGCTCCTCTAGATCTGTCGTGAATATGGAGTGGGATAAAATTTGGTCCTTTAACAAAAAGGTATGTGCTTCCTTGAATTTGATGCTACTCGCTTAATCTTCTTTCTGGGATATGTAGAGAATCCAGCGTTCGTTGGAGTGCTTATCACAACAAGTAGCAGTTGCAATATGTTGCATCATTTGGCACACTTTCAGGAAAATGGAATGTCCCTCCCTTTCTAACTTGAACTAGCACTAACCCTATTGATTCTCCTATACCAATGCTTACTTGCCTTATTTAGTAGTATGGGGAAGGATAATGGTATTTGCTGTAAATCTGATATGAAAACTGCATTTCATTTTTCTGCTTTCAAGCTGCGAGCTATCTGTAAGAAGGTATTACTTAATGCTTTTTACCTTAGCATATAGCTTACAGTGCTGTAAGCATACATAGCATAAGCTATCATTTTGCAGCTTCATAGCACAGTCACATTTGCTTATAACAGGAGCTCTACAAACCCACTGAAAATGCATTATTCCTAGTTTTAAAAGGCTGCCCGTTTCTGGTTTGGCTGCTTTGTTCACATAAACACAAACCTTACCCAATTGGATTCACGTTGGCCGCTTTTCCTTTCTGTGGCAAAAGGACTAAGGCGCTGCACATACTGCCTATGTAGATCAAGCCAGCACTGCTGATGTTTCTCACTGAATGTCCAGTAAGGAATATTGCATCTCGACATGGTTAGTCGCTTTTTCACAGCGGATGCTTGGACACTATAATAAGGCGAATTGTTACAACGCTGATTGCATATTTTGTGTGATTGTGGAAACACCTGTTATTTTGCATTGGGATTCCTGCTTGGTTTTGCTTAGATAATACCCAGATATTTTCATTTAAGTAGTTTTTGCTTGTCTGGCATGTACCTGGTATTTCTTTATGTATTTTGCATTTGGTCTGCTATATACACAAAGGTTTGTGAATTGGTTCTTTCTGTTGCTGCATAAATATATATATGACTAAGAATTGGAATTTGTGCAAAAATCCACAATGGACTGTGAGGACTCATTTTTTAATATGCTTTTAAACTGGGTTTCTTAGACCACTGACTCAACTCCTTGGACAGCACCATATTTCCTAGCCAGTTTTACTTACATGTGTCTGTGCAGATAGTTTGCAATCTGCAATGTGAGCAAAAATAATTGGTTGCATACAGGTAGTTCTGAGCTCAAAGAATTTATTGGTATGAGAGCTCTTATTTTATACGTTATCCTGTAATTTTGCTACTGACCTTTTAACACTTGTCATCTGGGGAAGGTTTGTGAGTTTTAATGAGTAAAATAAACAGCCTGGTAATAACATGGTAAAATTCAGTCAGTTGTCAAAATAATGATATTAAATCACATAGTACACCTGTATTTTTAAACCCTGTGTCTAACATTTAAGAGTCTGACTTTGGTGATAATAAACTTACAAATGTGTGACTTCTTAAAAGTATGTCATCGTATCACCTAACTTGCTAATGTCAAGTAATTAGGCGCTAATTTTTTTTTCTAAAATTGCCATATAGTGTTTTACTTGAGCAGAAATAAACTAAAGAGAAAAAAAAAGTTGCTTTATATTAATAAAAGCAGATGTTTTCCTTTGTGTTAGTTTCCAGTTAAACTGGCAGATCCCTGATACTCCTTTTGGACGTAGACAGCTGTTCTGCTTGAATTGTTTTTAAATGCCTTTGAACAGTTTGACAGACCAGTATTTCAGGTATGAAAAGTGCTGGGAAAAACTGTGTCAGCTGAGTTTGAAAGTGAGCAATAAAAATACAGGAAGACATTTCAATGGTATCTTTTTTTTTTTTTGCCAGACGCGTGTTGTAGAAATCCCGATGAAACCAATGTTACGATGTTGCCTTATTATAGTCTCTAATGTGTCTGTATTAAAATTGCAGACTTAATTGGTGCTTCTAGAGACAGGTCTGTCCCTGATTATTCAGCTGGAGTACTGACCTGCAAAATGAGTATGGGATCAGATCTTGTGCTGCTGGAAAAAGAATGAACCACACTGATAAATTATCACTTTAAATTGAACTACCTAGAGACATCATGGTCCAGATGTAAAAGCCTGTTCACAAGTAAAACTATATCAAATTTCTTCCCTCTGCTGTCTTCCCTATAAGGGAAGTAGCACCTAATCCATAGTTTTTACCCCAAGTATTTCAGTAAAGATGGGAAATTGCAAAGTACTACCACTGGTTCTCACTTTTCTAAAGCTGTGGATTAAAGTAACATTAAAGCAAATGTAAGAAAATGCAGTAACATAAAGAATACCAGTTAATACTCCTTTTTGGTGGTGGTTGTTTCATATAACATCTTATTTCTCTGACAATGTCATATATTCATGATCCTTCTCATTTGTTTTCTGTAGGTTATAGACCCAGTAGCACCTCGGTACACTGCTTTACTGAAAGATGCAGTGGTCCCTGTAAATATTCCTGAAGCTCAAGAGGAGATGAAAGAAGTGGCTAAACATCCAAAGGTTCTTGCTTTGCCCTCTTAATATTCTTGTGTTACAGATAAGTAAGGTTGGAAGTACCTTGGCTTCAAGCAGTCGGCAAGGAGAGTCCTGCTTTTAACTTGCCCAGACAGCATGAAATAAAACCAGTTCCCCATAGAACGGTCAAAAACTGGGCAGCTACGTGTTTGTTCTGTTAAGGGGATGTAGGAAACTGCTTTTGTAAGTATGTAGAGTGCACATAGACAGTGCATTGAAAGGCCCCATGGAGTTTTCGGAAGAGGGGGAGGTGTTATAAGTATAGAGTGATGCTCAGGCTGTTTTTATTGTTGTTTGATGCTAAATTTCACAGAGAACTTTAAGTACAAAGTTTTGTTCAAGATTTATGGGTCTAATACAGTAGATACTGCTTATCCCTAAGAGTGAGGAAGGAAGGACCTTTTTAAAAATAGTTTATAAAATTAGACTTATATAGAGAAGTGATATATTAACCTAATCAATCTGGATTTTTTTTAATATGACTCTTAAATTTGGATAGCAAATAGTTGTCTAAAGAACTTGCTAATTTGATAGTATCTAGTAGACAGAGTAATATCCCTTAAGAAGGGAAGTGTGTTACTAATACATTTTTTTGGCACTACAGTTAGGAAAGATGCTTTCCTTTGGGTGTAGCATTTCAAATTGCACTTTAGCTTTACTGAAAGCATCCCTTATACGCTTATACTGAGAAACAAGTGAATGTTGTCAAGGCTTTGCTTCATTAATTTTGTTGGTTTTGCTCTAAGTGTTCTTGTAGCCGTTTTATGTAACTGAGAGGTAGACATTTAGTTGCCTCATTCCTCTTTGCAAATAAATAAGGAAACAGGTTTATGGGTAGGTGCAGGTGAGAATTATGACTCTCTAAGAATCAAAACTCACAGCTGTCTGCCTTTTTCTTTAAAAAAAGTTACCTCTATTGTTGAGATGCTTTAAAACTGAGTATTTTTAGGATTGTAAGCAATGTATTTCCAATACCTATCTTTAAAAATCTCTACAGCTGAGAGAAGCTCCATATTAACTATATAGAAAAGCAAACATTAGAGTGATGGAATTTATTTTTGAAGGGAATTTGCACAGCAAAGTGGAAACTTCCTTGGTAGTTATTTGTAAGATCTTCAAGTTATATGAATCTTAAGGAGGTGGGATGTGCTATCAATTTTGTTGGAGCTAGTATCTGGTAGAAGACAGGATTTTTTGAGAGCACTGTCAGAGGACTACATGCAACACTTGTGAATGAGAAACCTGAGAGTTGTGGAGGAATACTGTATAGCTCTGCATTATTATTAGTGCCCATCTTCTATGTTCTGCTGTCCTCTGTCCTGAATAAAGCATATTTTTTTGGCACTGCATTAACTTCAGTCAACTTAGATAATAACTGTCTCTCCCTTGAAATGAAACTCATTATTCACAGAATGCCGATGTTGGGTTGAAACCTGTGTGGTACGGCTCCAGAGTCCTGATCGAGGGTGCAGATGCAGAGACCCTGACAGAGGGCGAGGTGGTTACGTTCATAAATTGGGGCAATATTATCATCACCAAATTAAACAGGTGAGCTGTTGACTGGGAGGTGAAATTAGTTTTTGTTTTTCAGATTTTTGTTGATTTTTCTTTTCATAGGCAGCTTGTAACGGTAAAATGACTGTCCGTATGTGGCCATTCTGTGATTCTGTATATAGATAAATATTTTGAAATATGCCACAAAACTGCATTTTAGCAGAGAGCATTATTTTACTGTAGATTCCAGTCTGAAACCACCAGTCAGTCCTGGTACTGCATGTCTTTCTCATACAGCGTTCTCCATGTTTCTGTGGCAATATTTCCACTGTGAAACAGCTTTTTCAGACCAGGAAAACCCACCTGAAATTTTAACAACGTTGACCCCTACTGCTTTTACATACTAAAAAACTAAACCAGTCAGGGTTTCAGTTGCAGAACTGCTAAGGTGGGGAGGAAGACTATTAATGTCGTCATAAGATCTTTGAAATTGTTGTGTTGAGACAGTGGCAGAATGGGGTGAGCTGAGATAGTAAAAAAAAATATGCAAAAGGAATCTCTACATATTTATATTCTCTGTCTCTTGATGCTTAAGAACTCAAAATCAAAAGAACTTCAACAGGAGTGAATACGCTCGCTCTTTTTCTGTGTCTCTCACATTCAAAAAGTGAACTTTGAACTCTTGTTTTTCAGTGAATCTATTGATGGTCTGTAATATAAAATGAGAACTAGGCTTCACTTATCATTTCTGTTTTCCTGTAGAAATTCAAGTGGAAAAATTGTGTCCATTGATGCCAAGTTGAACTTGGAGAATAAAGATTTCAAAAAAACAACTAAGATCACTTGGTTAGCAGAAACTCCACGTGCACCGCTCATCCCAACTGTCTGTGTTAATTATGAGCATCTGATTACTAAGCCAGTTCTAGGTAAAGATGAAGACTTCAAGCAATATATCAACCAAAATAGCAAGGTAAGTTGACTTTTTGTCCCCTTTATTTCACAAAGGTTCACGTTTGAGGGAGATATTTTACCATTGCTGTTTCTAGTTACTCTTTTTTTAATTTAAAAATTTAATATGTCACACAAGTGATATATAATTTCTTATGCTCTGTTAGATTTGTACTGCTTTCTTTTAACACTTACAGCAAGAAGAACTGATGTTAGGTGATCCATGCCTTAGGGAGCTAAAAAAAGGGGACATTATACAACTGCAGAGGAGAGGATTCTTTATTTGTGATCAGCCCTATGAGCCAGTGAGGTAAGTTACCTAAGAATGACCTAAGCAAACTTCACAGATTTTGCTTCAGCTTGCTGTGTCTTAATGTTTTCGCACATGTGTTGGCAAGAATAATGTTGCCTGCAATTATTTTTCCCTTTCCCGTTACATGGAATATTTCAGTGGACTGGCACGTTTTTTCTTTTTATGTTCCTACCTCTTCAAGCTGTCTAAGCCAAGTACCTGGCACTTCTGGTGCACCCCAGCTAACCTGGACTGTAAAGAGGTCATTGTTTCCTTGTGATTTTGAGAACATAAATTAAGGAACAGCATTATGGAATAAAACAAGCATTTGCCCAATTGGAGCGTGCACTTACTATTTAATTTTAACAGTTGTCTAGCAAGGTACCAAACATCCAAATTACACTGTGTTTCAGCATAATATTTTAACACAAAGAAAACTTGACCATAACAGGAATCAATGCAGATCCCCAATTACGCAAATTTGGGTAACCAGTTATGTGCAAAGATAAGCTTGCAGTTGTGTGAGAGCATCTTGTCAAAAGAGTAGAACAGTTGTTTCAAAAAAAATATTGTATGTATCTTCTATTTCCTTCGTTATTATTTTTTCAGTAAATCATTTTGTAGTCCTTACAGCTGTAAAGATGCCCCGTGCATTTTGATTTACATCCCTGATGGACATACTAAAGAAATGCCAACATCTGGGTCAAAAGAGAAGACCAAAGCTGAAACTGCAAAGAAAGAGGTAAACTTGAGTTTTACAAAAAGTGCCATAGAATGTATTATTTTACATCTATTACTATACAAGATTATCATGCCAAATACTTGGCTTTTTTTCTTTTTTTCTTTACTTTTTTTAAGGCTAGTTCAGCTGTAAAAGGAAAATCTGCTCTGCTTATTGGTGATACCTCTACTGGAACCTGTACTGTATCTGAAGATCACCTGGTCATTTACAACAGGGTGTCTGCACAAGGTGATATAGTTCGTGACTTGAAAGCTAAGAAGGCAGCAAAGGAAGATATTGATAAAGCTGTGAAACAGTTGCTGGCCTTGAAAGCAGAATACAAAGAGAAGACGGGCCAGGATTATAAGCCTGGAAATCCTCCAGTATCTGTAACTGAACAGTCTTCAAAGGCGGAGACCTCTGGTACCCTCGACAGTAAAGCTCTATATGATAAAGTAGCAGAGCAAGGAGAAGTGGTCCGAAAACTGAAAGCTGAGAAAGCACCTAAGGTGGCTGATTAAACTATTTTTTTTTGTTTGGGTGTGTCTAGCCCATTGCCCTCTCTTTGCAGAGGTAAATGGGTACTTATGGATCCATGTTTTCATAGTGATCATCACTTGGACTGCGGTCTTTTCTGTCAAGACTTGGTGGTTTTCAGTACTTATCATTTAGCTAGATACTTATAACAGAATTTGTGTTAATATTCATAAAGATGTGAGTATTTTTCTGTATTTCTTAGACTGCTGTTCTGAAATGTGGACAGGATTCATCCCACAGCATAAGCTGATTAAGTATCCAAGTCTGGTGCTTGGGGTTAACATGTCGCACAGTATTTATTTATTTGTTTATTTATTTATTTAACTAAATATGTGCAAATTATGTGAGTATGTAAAATTGACTTGTTGCTATTTAGACCTCAAACACAAACCAAAATACAACCCCAAAACCAGAAAGGAAAAAAGAAGGAAAGATCCAAGAAGATATTTTTTGAGACATCTTCCTGTCTGGAACTGAGCATAGAAAACACACCTGGTAGTAGCTGTGCTCTTTCCATTCTTTCTAATGCAGAGCATGAAAATAAGGGAAATATCATACTTTATCTGGTGGTTAAATACTGTTCCAGTAGTGTGTTGGTGGTACCATAAAATCTAAATAAGTGGGAAGATCTACACTAATTTATTGTTTCAAAAAAAGGACTGTTTGGATTGTATAACCTGGGTTACTTAGTAGAGAAAACTCTCAACAACTCTACTAAATAGTTAAGAAAATAGGTGCACATAAACTGCAGATGTTCTCAGGAAAGTGTTCTAAGATGCACTTAAGAGTCTTATGTTTCTGTATCTTTGTTGCTCCCTCTTTCTGCCCCTTTCCTCTCTCTTACAGGATGAGATAGGTGCTGCTGTGGAAGTCCTTTTAGCCCTAAAGGCAGAATATAAACAACAGACAGGCCAGGAGTACAAACCCGGAAGCCCACCGGTGGTCTCTGTCCATCCTCAGTCTTCTCCTCTTTCTACTCTTCCGCCCGCATGTCCAGCAGACAGCAAATCTCTGTACAACAAAGTAGCTGAACAAGGCGAAGTGGTCCGCAAACTTAAGTCGGAGAAAGCTTCAAAGGTGTATTAGCAGTGAATGCTTCTCAGTGGAACAATGTTTTCAGTTTAGGCTAAAACCTAATTGCAAGTTTCATGAAACTTGAGGGACAAAATCTAAGCAAGTACTTTCGAATTCCATGAAGTGCTTTCCCAAATTCTCTTAAGCTGGTGGTATGGCTGACTTCATGAGTTCTATAATAGTGCCTAGGGAACCTGGAAGATCTTTTTATGATGGTACAAGATAACTGAAACAGAATATAGGCAGTAACTTGAAAGCCAGAATGGCAATAATAAATTTAGTAGTAATTTGATAGTGGCCAGGAAACCATCTGTATTCCGAGTCTGAGTGTTTGCTGCCATTCTCCACTGTACAAAGTCTTGGATTGCCATAACTGGAGGGGGGACTAAGCTGCCTAAAACTGGGAAGCTTTTGTCAGCCCTTACATCATATACTGCCTGATTTGCTAATAGGTTGATAGGTAAGCTGGCTAAAAAGTTGGCTAATAGGTTGATAAATAATCTGGATAAAAAGTTTTACCACAGAACTCAGTGACAACTTGTACTAACAAGTTAGCTCTTGAAGTTTTATTGCAATTATGTTAGTGCCATTCCAGTAAAGGTTATGCTGTCTTAGCTATTGTGCTGAATCTCTGTTATTTCTATCTTTATCTGCAACTTCTGTTTTTCCTTTCTTGCTTCAGGAGCAAATAGATGAGGCTGTGAAAATCCTTCTAGGTCTAAAAGCAGAATATAAACAAAAGACAGGCCAAGAGTACAAGCCTGGAAATCCACCTTCAGCTCCTTCTTGTATACCTTCTGCTACACTTCCATCTTCTGTATGCTGCAGTAACTTGGCACCCTGTAGCTTAGTGGATGGCAAAGCACTTTACGATAACGTAGCTGAACAAGGGGAAGTGGTACGCAGACTCAAAGCAGAGAAAGCTTCCAAGGTATAATGGCACAGAGAGTAAGCAGTTGTAATTCTTACCACATTTTGCCACTCGGGGGAAGTCTTTCACCAAGTAGTTATCAGACACCCTGATGTCTGGGTCATAGCACAGCCATCAAATTTACATGGTCTGATAATGCCACACTCTGATGCTGAATACTCTCTTGAGTTTGAGATGTAAATTCTAAGTTCAGCTGTGTAGAAAGTCAAACTTAACCTCGCACTTTTAGGTAGATAGGCACAAGCGTGGCAGATGTCAATTCTGCAGAAGTTTTTAGCGTATTTTGCTTTTTCTTGCTGTATTTGGGACAAATAAACATAAAAGTATCTAGTGTGCTGTAACAGCAACAAGGTTTCTCAAAATTTGGCAAATTCAGTGACAGTTGTGAAAAAGAATGTGAGACAAACCTGTATGTTTTCAGGAGCAGCTGTTTTATTTCTGCATATATTTCTGCCTTGCAGAATTAGTTTTGGTATTGGGCTGTTTGGTTTTTTTTTCTTCTTATTTTTGTTGGTTTGGTTTGCAAACACTTTTCTGAAATGCTTTATTGTATTTTTCAGTGTAGATTCTGCTGCAGTTGTTAACAGTGCTGGGCAGGTGAGCTAGGGGAATGTTGTGGTACAATGTAACAGCTCTCGAAAGTACTTATGTTGCTTGGGGAAGAGCTGTTACTTGAGTCCCTCCCTACTTATGAAGCACTGTTTTTTGCTAGATGGAAATTTTATTTTCTTAGCCTGAAAATCAAGGCCTCTTGTCTGTTCTGTCTTTAATTCTCACCAGTGCATCTTGCTATTTGTCCTCCATATAGGATGCAATAGATGAAGCAGTAAAACTCCTTCTTTCTCTAAAAGCTGACTACAAGGAAAAGACTGGGCAGGACTACAAGCCAGGACATCCACCAGTAGCTCAAGGTGCTTTGCCTCAGGGATCAAACACAGTACCCAGTGGTCCAGACACGACTGAAGCTAAAGCCCTGTTTAGCAAAGTAGCTCTTCAAGGAGATGAAGTTAGGAAACTGAAAGCAGAAAAAGCAGAAAAGGTAAATACATACTGTAATTAAAAAATATGTGTATTTAAATCTAAAAATCTATTTTAAATCTGTTGCGGGTTAGGGCTGGGCTGGCCACTACATGTGGACAGACGCTCTCTAACCCCCTTTCCCCCCAAACAGGAAGGAAAAGGGAATGAGGCAGAGAGACTTACAGGTAGAAAAGAAAACAAAAATGGCTTTAATGAAGCAATAATAGAAATAATAGTGAAATGATAAAAATAAAGAACTATATACAACTATATATAAACCCGATATCGAACCTGGCTACCTCCCCGATATCAATCCCCACTGGTGCTGCAGAGCAGGTGGCACTGGGGAAGCCCCAGGCTCAGCGGCAACAGGAGCTGGGTACAGGGAGCTGGATTCAGGAACTCAGGAGGTCAGACGGAGTCCTCCCTGGACACCGGCCATTGTAGAAAAGAGCAGAAACTCTTGAGATCACTCAATTTATACTAAATATGACGTATATGGGATGGAACACTCTCATTGGTCACCTGTCCCGTCTATTACCCCCTGGAGATGCAACCTTTTACTTCCTTGTGACCCATCTCACTACCCGGCACCCCCAGCGTGGCACACAAGAGCCAGCAGTGGCCTTGGGCACTGTAGGAATAAGTATCAGCAAGAGCCTTTCTGCATCCCAGTCCCAGGCAGTAACTGGAAACATCAGGTGTTATCACTGCCAGTAGCACACACTGTCTGCAAAACATGCTGCTGACTTCAGAACGTGCAGCCTTTTAGAAGAGACTAAACTAGAAAGTAAAAATCACTAAACAGAATTGGGGTTTTTAGCTTAAACCAGGACAAAATTCAGTGTGATTATGGGATTTAGAAAGGTACATTTAGAATAGGCAGCGTTTGAATTCTGAGATCTGAAATGTACAATTATTCTTGTCAGATATGGCCCTTAAAATATTAACACATTTTAATTAAGTATTGGATTTTTCTCCCAACACTACGTGGGTGTCCACAATGCCATACATAGATCCATTTTATTTTTTTGATAGAGCCATCTTATTCCTGTGATTTCTGTATAAATTTATCTTTATTTTTTTGTTCTTCAAGGAAAAGATAGATGCAGCTGTTAAGGAACTGCTTCAGTTGAAAGCCCAGTATAAGTCTGTTGCAGGAGTTGACTATAAACCAGTTTCTGCTAGTGGTGCTGATGACAGAGACAAGAAGAAGAAAGAAAAAGAGAACAAGTCTGAAAAGCAGAGTAAGCAACAGAAGCAAAATGATGGCCCAAAAAAAGAACCTTTGCAAGGACAGAGTGGTAATGAGCTCTCCTCAAGTGGATCAGGAGAGGGTCAAGGCCCTAAGAAACAGACCAGGTAAAGATGCAATCTTTAATCTGTTTGCCAGAAATATCAACTGTTTATCTTAATTCAGAGACAGAATTTTACAGGTTTCTCATTTAATTTGAAAGCACGAACCTTTGCGAAGTAACTATGTTCATTTTCATATTTAGGTTTGCCAGAGCTGATATAGTGCCAGTTGCACCTCAGCATTCTACTGAGGAAAATTGTGCCTAGCGTGTAGAAAGCATGAAGCAGTCTGCTCACTCTGGTACTGTGGGTACTGTCATAAAGAATTTGCTGTGCCAAGGATCGATGGGCCAAGGCCAGTTGTATGGGGTTTAGCAAGGCCAAGTTCTGGGTCCCGCACTTTGGTCACGACACCTCCAGGACATGCTGCGGGCTTGGGGAAGAGCAGCTGGAAAGCTGCCCGTCAGAAAAGGACCTGGGGGTGCTGAACAGCTGGCTGAACGCGAGCCAGCAGTGTGCCCAGGTGGCCTGGAAGGCCAATGGCATCCTGGCTCGTACCAGGAACAGTGTGGCCAGCAGGAGCAGGGATGTAATTCTGCCCCTGTGCTCAGCACTGGGGAGGCCACACCTTCAACCCTGTGTTCAGTTTTGGACACCTCACAACAAGACACTGAGGTACTAGAATGTGCCCAAAGAAGGGTGACAAAGCTGGTAGAGGAGTCTAGAGAACAAATCTTATGAGGAGCAGCTGAGAGAACTGGTGTTGTTCAGCCTGGAGAAAAGGAGGCTGAAGGGAAACCTTCTCACTCTCTAGAGCTGCCTGGAAGGAAGTTGTAGCGAGGTGGGGGTTGGTTTCTTCTCCCAATGACAAAGAGGTAGGACAAAAGGAAGTAGCCTCAAGTTGCACCAGGAGGGGTTTATATTGGATATTAGGAAGAATTTCTTCACTAAAAGGGTTGTCAAGCATTGGAACAGGCTGTCCAGGGAAGCAGTGGAGTCACCATCCCTGCAGGTATTTAAAAGATTTATAGATGTGGTGCTTAGGGGGGTGGGTTAGTGGTGGATCTGGCACTGCTATGTCGATGGTTGGACTTGATGATCTTAGAGATCTTCTCCAATCTAAATGATTCTATGCTTCATTATTTGTTTCTGCATGTATACTGCTGTATCTTGCTCTGTTTAAATCCTGGAGAGAAAAGAAAACCAAAACACATATGCATATTTCATTGTAACAGAGTTTCAGAAATATTTACTGCAAGGAATGTGAGAGTTATGTATCCCACCCCAGCGCTAGCTGGCACTGCTGTTGTTGATGGTCAGAAACCTCCAGCAATGATTGCTGTGCATCCGCTCTCCTCCTCCTCCTGCCCTGAAAGTTTAGAAGTCTTTCCACAGCATGTATTACACTGCACTATTTATTTCCTATTTCAGATACATAAATCACATGTCAGAGACAGAGATGAGATTATTTTGTATAGAAATGATGCCAGGAAAATGCATTTTACACTCTTAAAACTTCTCTGTTGATAGAGATGTAAAAACTTTTGCCTGCTATCATTTGAGTCTGGTGAGTTTATTCTTCTGTAGAGTCCAGTTGTGCTGGTTATCTTTATTTTGATGGTAGGGTCAGTTTTCTCTCTAGAGCAGTGTGACTGACATTCACATGGGTGGTGAATTCAACTTGTGTGTGTTTCCTGAATTTGTAGCCACTGGCTAGGTAAGAAATTTTTAAAATAAAGAGTTAAAAATAAAAGAGTTAATGGAGAGTTTACACACAGGTCTTAGTTAGTCCTGGTCCTTACGGGAGGTGCTTGGATTTTTTTTAAATGCATCAATATGAGGTTCATTGGTGCAAGCTTGATGAGAATTAGAAGGGTTCAAACAGCAGAAAAGAAACAGCTGTTTTTGTGAAATACCATTGTTAGCCAAGGTAAGGAAATAGTAGCAATTCCTACTAATCAATACATGCTGAACTGTCAGAAAAAAAAACTGAGACAAGTTAGCTTTGTGAAGTAAAATTAAAATATTGTGTTCCACATCCCCCTTTTTCTGCCCCCCTCTTCCCAAGGGAAAAAAAAGCAAAGGGTTTAGGATAAATTTCATTGCTAAACACTCTATAGCACAAATCTGGTTCTTTTCTAATACCATAGGCTGGGTCTAGAAGCTAAGAAAGAAGAAAATCTTGCAGACTGGTTCTCTCAGGTGAGTGCACATCAGTTTAAATTAAACAATTATTTCATTATTTTCATAAATCAAGATGTGTTTGCATTTATGTTTTATCTTGTATTTCTGTTTGCTTGGGGGTTTTTGTTTGTTTGTTTAAATGGAAAGCAAAGTACTTGTTCTTTTCTATTTCTTACATTGCTCTCACAGTCTTGAATAGAAGTGCCTGGATTGAAGAGCTGAATAAATTTAGGAAGCTGTAAAAAGGATGAGCATCAACCATTTCACTCTTCCTCTCCATATATGTATAGATACGTCAGATTTTCTTGTGTATGGATTCCTCTGTCATTAAGAGTGAAAAACTTCGGTGAAGTGATAGGAATTTCGCAGGTTTCAGAATGTTACTTCCCTTCAAGATGATGTATAAAAAATGTTAGTATCTGTTGATACTGAGTGAGGTTTTGGACACCTTATGAGGTTCAAAACCAGCCAGAGTAGAGATGATTAATTTAGATTAGCCTCTTTATTGAAGATGGCAAGTAGATATCAGTGGTGTACGTTGCCTCTCACAGGTATAATTTTTGCCTTTACCCTAAGGAATAAAAATATTTTCTGACATTAGATAGAGATTTCTTAGAAAAGTGCAGTTTATTGGTTCCTGGAAATTAGCTACTGCCTCTTACTTGGATTTTTGAGTTTTAGTTAAGTGTTTACATTATTCAGATCTATTAATAAACTCTATTTTCCTGCTTAACTTCCTCTAATTACAGGTAAAAAAACATGTCTCTGCTATCTTTTTAAGCAGAAAGACTTTTAAATAGCTGGCATTTCTTGAATTGCATGCCACATACTTGATTTACTGAATGTTCTTTCTGTACGAAATTGAAACTTCAGTGTCTAAATAATCTTTTGAAAGGTGATCACAAAAGCAGAGATGATTGAATACTATGATGTGAGTGGCTGTTACGTTCTTCGTCCTTGGGCTTATGCTATTTGGGAAGCTATCAAAAACTTCTTCGATGCAGAGATCAAGAAACTTGGAGTGGAAAACTGTTACTTCCCCATGTTTGTGTCCCAGGCAGCTCTAGAGAAAGAGAAGACACATATTGCTGACTTTGCTCCAGAGGTACACTTTCAGAATTTGTTTTAATCTGAGTATAAGAAAACTCAACCACTTAATCTGCAGCTAAATGTGAAAGTAAGGTTATTTTTGAACTTGTTTTGCTTGGTTATTTTTTAAAATATTCTCCCCCTTTGTTTTTCCTTCCTGTAGGTTGCTTGGGTCACAAAATCCGGGAAAACGGATCTGGCTGAACCAATTGCTATACGTCCCACAAGTGAAACAGGTAGACCTCTTTCCATGCAGTTTGGCTGTAAAGAAAACAGTTACATGTATAGGGAATCTCATAGACAAGAGTCCGTTTTGAAAAGAGGAAACCCATTTTTTAGAATGCTTTTTGTAATTCCTTATCAAAATTTCCTAAATTTGCTGCTGCTTATAGCAAATGTCACAACACTTTCTGTTCTCTTAAGTGGACTCTTCTAAGAAGTGTACACTCTAGAGATTTTTTCATTAATATCCTGAAGACTGACTTGCTTTGACTGAAAATCGTGTTTAATTGTTTTACATTATTTGTAAGACAATTTTTTCATCTTATAATTCACTTCAGTTATGCATGTGCTTTGACTGTAGCTCGGAATGTAGCTAAAGTTTCCTCTGAGCAATTTAAACAAACTTTTTTAAGACTTGAGGCTGGATGAGTTTTTAATTCGATCAGTTATGGCACAGCATCTTGAAATCTCAAGATGGGTGAAATTTTATTTGAACCTATATGTATTTACATACAAATATAGTGTCACTAGATAATGAGCTTTGGGTTACACTTTGACGAGCAGCAAGCAAGCTATTTTGCACAGGCCCAGAATTAAGTGAAAGTAGTCCCTTCAGTGAAAATATCATGTGCTAAGACAAAAAATGCTTTTTGAAGAGTATTAAACACAAACACATAGTTTTCACAGCAGAGAATATTAAGCTTATGTAGAGGAATCTGTCATAAACTGGCTGAATTGTGCAGAAACCCAAAGCTGCTTTCCTTTTACAGTCATATATCCTACCTATGCAAAGTGGGTGCAGTCACACCGGGATCTTGCGATCAAGCTTAATCAGTGGTGCAATGTTGTGGTATGTCCGTACACGATTTCTGATTAACTGTTGTATCATAAGTGCAATGCAGGACAACTGTTCTATATGAACACAGGACATATTTCATGGCAAAAGTATGAATGTGGTTTACGTTAGTTGTTTTTCTCACTGTTTTTAATAAAACGTACTTTATCAATGTACTTTATCAATGTATGTTGTCAATTAGATTGTTTAAGTAGAAATCTGTGAACAGTTAACTTTTTTAGTCTTTATTCAGAATCTAATACTTATGTAGAAACATTATTTGTAACAGTAGTTTGACATTTTAGTGTTGATCATGATGGTCAATATTTTTATTTCTCCTCCTTTCAGCGCTGGGAGTTCAAACATCCCCAACCTTTCCTTCGCACTCGTGAGTTCCTCTGGCAAGAGGGTCACACAGCATTTGCAACATATGAAGAAGCAGCAGAGGAGGTAAAAAGCAAATCACAGAATCACAGAATTGTTGAG